GTCGCCTTGGGCTGCAGAATAGTGAGCGAACCCCCCGGTCTTAACTTTCATATGTGAACCGGTCACTTCCGGGTTGAGGGCGGTGTGATCGCCGTTTGCCTCGAGCGCCAGTTCAGCTTGATTCAGCCCTGCATGTGTTTAACGTGCAAAGAAATTTGGATAAGACCAAGGAAACACTTTTAAAAGGAAAGTTTCAGTATGAAACAATTAATCACGCATCAGACAGAGGGATTGACACGGTACTGGCCCAAGGACCAGCTGGACAAGAGCAACCTGTGGTATTCCTGAGTCGGAAGCTGTTGCCCAGGAAGACTCAATACTCTACTATAGAGGAGTGTCTCCGCTTCTGCCTCCAGCGGCAGGAGTCTGACCATCAGGCACTTACCTGGATTAACTCCATGACAGATACTAACGCCAGAGTGACCCGGTGATGCCTGACACAGCCCTTCTAATTCCAGATAACTGATTGCCCTGGAAGGGAAAATTTAGTAGAGCAGTGGTTCTCAAACTGTGGTACGCAGGCTTCCTTCTAGTGGTATGCGGAGGAATGAAATATGTCAAGTACATGCTACACACATTTCAAAATTTACCAAAAACTATGTATATAATGTGCCATATATGACATATAGCCTATATTTCTGAGGTAATGTGCCACGTTTTTTTTAACAGTGTAGAGTTGTAGCTGCTTTACTGGGCCTACGCTACTGTATTTCAATACTGCTCATTTTGGTGGTACTTGGAGAGACAAATAGTTTCTGAGGTGGTACTTGATGAAAAAAGTTTGAGAACCACTGTAGTAGAGTAACTTCTTGTCGAGGTTCCCTGACACTACGTGGCTAGGAGAGGGAGAGGATAATGTGAAGAAGTGAGCCTTCTTCCCTCCATCTTGATCATGGATCATCATGCCTGCATTGGTACACACACACTTACATAGCCACTTACCTGTACTTTTCCCTTCCGTTCGCTGCAGATGCAGAGTGTACACGTCATCTTACAGCATCCAGTCATTCCCTTCACTTCTCCATCTGTCCTCTGTTTACACTGAGCACACATTCACACACACCTAGTCTTCGTGTCTTTGTTGGACTTCAGAGCTGGGCCGGCCAAACCAAGTTCAGAGCTGGCGCCGGCTAATGACATCACAAGCCGCGCCATGGCAGCACCATGCACTGAAGCTCCAACCGTACCATTGTGTTTGGGTACAGCCACCGCAGCTGATCGTCCTGTATGAGGAGAGAATGTTCATCTAATCAATATTCTGTGTTTGTGTTGTGTTTGAGTCATTAGGTTGAGGTTTATGCCGCAAAGGCAATACTTACCTATTATTGGTATGGCTTAATCAAGCAGACACCAGACTGGAGATCTTGGTCAGAGCATGTTGTGGCAGATCTGTGAGCAGTTCTCTTGTGTTGGATCCTCTATTATATATTGTGAATATAGTGTTTGTTTATTTTTGGAGTTGTATATAAGTCTATGATGATGATGATGATGAAGCTTTATTTGTCTCATACACTTTCATGCAGCCAAATTGAACAGGGAATAGTCAACTGTCTGGGATTAGTTAAGCGTAGGGGCCGTAAGGGGCTGTAACACTCCAAGAGCTCCTCAAATACTAAAGCTCAGCTGTTCAGGGCTTTCAGTGC